GAATCGAAGGTTTTTGGTTTCCTTCGGTTCAGTGGTCCAAGGAAGAAGAAGGGGCTATATTTTTATTGAAGCTGTTCGCAGTATTATACTGCGTTTTAAGTAAAATGCAGTATAATACTGCGAACAACTTTAATAAAATATAGCTGGGCACAACATCTTAGTAAAAAGCAGTATAGTACTGCGATTTACAAAAAAAAAATTTATTTTAAACAATAACGCAGTACTATACTGCGAATTACTTTAACGCCAAAATTTCCGTTAAAGTAATTCGCAGTATAATACTGCGTTTTACTCATTTATGTAACTTTTTTTTAAGTAGTACAAAAGTGTTTTTTGTCCAAAAAATGATTAAAAAGGTTTTGGACTCCCTGCCGTTGCACATTCATCAATGACCCCCTTTATTATCATTTAAAAGAGAATTGATCCTAGGATCTTGTTTCCTAGATATATCTATAAATAGTAATTTCAACAACCATTGTAAGGACACAAAAATCTCTAGCAAAACTTATGCTACATTCTATTCTTAAGCTAAATAATACAATTTTACTTTCTGTTTTATATTGCTCTTATTTCTGTCCTCGAAAGCATCGATCCCGGAACCAGGCCTGCTGTTCCTTTTGATTTTAACGCTAAGTCTTATTTTTAATATAATTTATTTATCATTTTAGATCAAATCAGTTAGCTTGTTTATGAATCACGTAACAAATTCAACTATACAGTTTTACGGGTAAACAAAGTATATCCCTCTAGTATAAAAGATTGTTTAAACTGACCATCCATTTTACTATTTGTGTATTTATATGACGGAGGGTACTTCACATTTGACCCTTTTTAGTAAATATTATTACTCACACATCAATCAAGATGAATAAAGTAACTTTTAGGGGTCATTTGGTAAGATGTATTAGAGAAAATAATATATGTATTAACTTTGATATTATTAATTGTTTATTTGATAGTATCTTTCAAACTACTATTCATTACTATTTTTATGCATAGAAAATCATGACACTAATAATACAATAATTTTTAATACATGGATAAATATATATAAAAACACAACTATCCTTTCAAAATCTTTTCCAACAAATGTGGAGGGTATCTTATACAAAAATATTTTTTTTTAAAAAAAATTATACAATGCATGAGAAATAATCTTATCATAATTAATTTTAATATTACTAATACTACTATTCTTGTACACTCTTACGTCCACGGGTGGGGCAGAAAGAAGCTGCAAAACCTATCCATATAACCCGCCCCAGTTTCAATTCTAAACTCTCTTCTCCTGCCTGCCGATGTCACACTCCACTCTCTCTCTCTCTCTCTCTCTCTCTCTCTCTCTCTCTCTTCTTCGAAAAATATAAGCCAAAAAGGAGAGACCCTTTTGTTCTATAGTAGTAAGCTGAAGTAGCAGCAAATTTTTATTGAGAATTATTTCAGGTGATGGAGAACATAGGAATAGTTTCATCACCAAAAATGGTATTGGGTGTCTCTTCAAACCCAAGGAATTCAGTAATTACCAGCAAACCCTTCTTTGGTCTTCCTCATCTACCCAAAAGACCCTCAAAGAATGCTAGAATTGTCAGACCCACTACTTGTTGTGAAGTTATCTCTTGTTTTCAGGGTCCAAGGCTCACCAAAAAGATTGGTAATTTGTACTTCTTCCTTTTTCTCTAGTAGTCAATGTCCTTTATATATTCTGTGTTTATTTGAAGCTTAATGCCATATTATAAAGTAGAAGTTCATTACCCAAAAGGAGCTTTTTGAAGTTATTTTTCTTGAAATTTTCATATTACGAGTTTTTGGGGGTTATTTAATGGTTGGGAAATGCACAATTCCGTTTTCTACTCATGTTAAAAATTGAAACTTTTAGTGATTTTTTGTGTGTATAGGTGTTTATCTAAAGATTGATTGCTTTTTATAGTAGGAGTTCATCACCCAAAAGGGAAGAGCTGTCTTGAAGATAACTTTTTGAAATTTTTGTATTGTGAGGTGGTTTTTTGGTTTATTTAATAGTTGGGAATTGCACAATTTTGATTTCGTTTCAGGTAAAAATTGAATCTTTTAGTGATGTTTGTGTATATGAGTGTTTATCTGAAGCTTGGTTACATCTTATAGTAGGAAACTAGGAATTAATCACTTGAGAGGAGTAGTCCTTCAAGAGAATTTCTGAATGGCTTCTTTTGAAGTATAGTTCTAAGAGTTGTTTACTTGATTTATTTACTTGTTGGGGAGTGCTTTATGCTGGTTTGTACCATGTCCCTATTTTTTTTTTTATAAGACAGAGAGTCTTTTTTGAATTTATCTGAATCTTAGAACTAAAATTTCAGTATTGAGTGTAGTAGTCTTTAAAGATATATTTTTTAAAAAAAAATTGTAGTACTAAAAAATGTTTCTTGATTTAATTGCGAGTTGGTGGGTAGAATGCCAATTTGTACATACTGCTGAGTGGATATCTCTTTGGAATTATTCTAAGTATGTGTGAGTTACTTTTATAAGTGCTGAGGTGCTGCTGGTTGTATCTTGGGTGGAGCTGTTTTGTTTTGCATATTTTTGCCATTTGGTTGGGTAGAACATGGTCAATATTTTATCAATTAGCAAAACAAGTGTCCTCCGGTGAAATTTGATGTAAAGAACTGAGGGATGGATAAACTTAATGATAATTCCCTTTGTCCAGATGTTAATGGACTACAAGTCAGTTCAGTGTCTTGTATATGATTCCGAAAGGTTGCTACGCCCGTGAGGTAACTGGATAAAATGAGGTGATAAAAAGTAAAACATTGTTGCAGTTTTTGACTATGTTAGATAAAATATACTACACGAGCAGAGGCATTGAGAAGAAGAAGGTTTTTGGTACTCATACCCATCAAAAAAGAAGAAGAAGGTTTTTAGTACTCATAGTCTGGTGATGTCTTCTGTGGATGACATCAAGAGCAAGGTTACTGATTTTAGAAGTCTGCTGATAGGTTAAAGTGGGTGCTTTCACAAATGGCAACCTCTCCTTGTTATTGATATCAATGTATCAAAATGATCACACATGTCCTATTATAATTTATTTGACCAGAAAGATTATATAGGTATCTAAGTGGCCAGCTTCCCTATTCATTCTAGAATTGTTAACAATAAGAAACTGTTATAAGTTGATTTTAAACAGGAGAGAAGTTTGTAGTGTAAGATTTGTGTTTGCGTTGCTACTGTGTCTTCTACATACAGTCTTCGTGTTAAAAAATCTGACTGTTGCTTCCATAAATGCTGCGATCTTTTTGCTTTGGGGACTGCGTCTTTGATTGGCGTGATTCCAGCTTGACTCTTGCTTGTTGAAGTTCTGATACCATACTTGTAATGATTTGAAAATAGTTCCTTAATTTTCCTTCCTGAACAGCTTCCTGCTTTCGTATTCTGACTTAATTTGTCTTGATTCAACCTTGACTGAAAACGGGTTTTCTCCCAAGTGCTCATAAACAGAGCTTCAGATTATGGGTAGCTTTGTAACATGTATACATCAGTATTGATCCTTTAAGATATCCCCTTTTTCATTTCCTTAGGTCAAGGCCTTCAATCCTTGGTTGCCTTATTGGAAAGATCCTCAAACCTTGACACACAGCGGCTGACCCTTTTTAATCCTTGAAAATGACTGCTGAATCTTGCTTTCCATTAGAGGAATAATTTGGTTGCCTTCTAGAAAATCATTTTCTTCCATCAATCATAGCTTAGTTTTCTTCTATACAACTTGCTTTTCAGTCTGCTGTAGATTTTCCTTGACTGATTTGCACCGGATCTAACTTGCATATTTTTGTGCTTGCATTCAAAACTTAACTTCATTAGTGACAGACATCCTTTTCCAGATAAAGATTGTTGTCATCATTAAAATCCTAGGGCTTAAATTGTGCTGCTGGTATAATATACCGTATGAAATCGTGCCTTTAGGTCTTGAATTTTGAGAGGCACTCAAGAACAGAGTGCTCCAATAGTCTATCCAGTGCTAAAAAAAGGAAAAGGAGAAAAGGTTTAAAGATAAAAGTATCCTCTAAAGTATCACAAGTAGAGCATCTTATTTGTCTAGTAACTTTATTTAAGAGATCAAATTATAAATCTCAAACAAGCTAATGTGCCATTCAGAAACATACAACAACAACCCAGTAGAATCCCATTAGTGGGGTCTGGACCATTCAGAAACATGTATTTTGATATTTGGGTGAGTTTTATTTGTTGAAAGAATGATTCCAATATGTAAAATCCTTTTCTGTCATAAAAAAAGTTACTGATCCATATCAAAATTTTCAATAAGAAATTTGTTCTATTAATATATTATAAGATGGTTTTTGGGCTTAAGCTCATCAGCGTCATGCTTCTATGGGTAATGTGAAATTTCTCAGTAGTTGTTGCTGCTACAACTTTGATATGCTTTATATCTGGCTAGACGACCAAATTAAAAAGACCTTGTTGTTGGAAAAAGACATACTATGCATAGAACTGCTATATCTTGAAGAATAATTCAATGGCTGTCACCGGGAAGTGACAGTCACTTCTCTTGTCCCAAGTTTCTTACTGTTGTTGGGACTTTTTTATCCATTGTTATCTTCTTGCTATTAATTCTGCTGCTGCTTAACCTCTCTTTGTACTGATTCTATGCAGTGCTAGAAAAAAAAGGGAGGGATTGTTTTGCTAGCACAACTTCAGGTGGCCAGCAGACCTCTTCAGTTGGTGTAAATCCACAATTTTCAGCTCCATCACCATCGTCTCAAGTGTAATAATTTGTATTATTCCCTATTTGATGTGTTTTATTTTGTCTACAATTTTGCCTATCAGTTTCTTGCTTTACACGTTCCTCTTATACTGTTTGCATCTGCACTGATAATTAACATCTCTTGATTTGTTACTTATTCTTTGTTATTTTATTGTGTCTACAGAGGGTCTCCTCTTTTTTGGATTGGAGTTGGTGTTGGGCTCTCAGCACTTTTCTCATGGGTGGGAAGGATAATTCTCTTGATTTTATTTGTTGCACTCTTGTTGTTTCATTTTAATTTGTTTTACTAACTCTCTACTGGATTTTTTTTGAAATATATTGCAGCTGGCTTCATACCTTAAGGCAAGTACTTTTTATTTAAATTTTGCATGGATTGGTGCTTGTCTCATTCTGTTGTTTCTTATGGCCCTACTATCAGAGTGACAGCTAGAGAGTTTAGCCTTTAGATGCAAATATACACGTAGCTTATCCATAATATAACATGGATATGATGGGACATACCTTCTGAGCAGTAATGTGTTATAGAATTGACCACATGTTAAGAAGAAAGGGCCAAAAAGCATAAACAAGAAAAGAATGGGAACTATGCGTAAGTTGATGGTGCCTGCAATTTACATGTCAGTTTCATGCTTTGCAAGTAATTTAAATCATGCTCCGTCTCTTGCAAGTAAATTCAGATCTGGTTTTGGAAGGCCAGTGATATCCTTAATTATTTTTTTAGCTACTTCACTATACTTGTCTTTTTGTTTGAGAGTCCTAACACTTGCTGTTTCATTTAGTTGATTTTCTTTCTTGTATCTGTGAGCTTTAAGATAAGTAGCATGGCCTTTTCCTCATTTTAAACAAACTAAATTATTCCTGCTAATGAGTCAAATCGTGCTCCCACTGGGTATGTTGTTGTTGAGTCAAAACCGGATTGTATATTATATTACTTGCTCAGGTAAACATAAATCCGGTGGTTGCTTCTTTTATTATTTATGGCGGAAAATAGTGTTTAAACTAGTTTCAGATTCTTCAAATGTCATATGTTGTAGTTTGGTTTAGCTATAGAAATTCAATAAAACCAGATCTTTCATATATGTCTAACTACTCCTGCATATTCTTCCAGAAGTACGCAATGCAGCAAGCGTTCAAAACAATGATGGGGCAAATGAATAATAACCAGAATAGTCCATTTAGTAACACTGCTTTTTCACCTGGGTCACCTTTTCCGTTCCCACCACCACCTCCAATGTCAGGTGCAGCTAGTTCATCAACTCCACCACCTGCATCATCAGCATCATTTGCATCTCAGCCGGTTACTGTTGATGTGTCCGCAACCAAGGTGGAGGAACCTCCAGCTGTAAATGTCAAGAAGAATGATACAGAAGCTGAAAGGGTGCCAAAGAAAAATGGTAATATAATTGATAGTTACATTTAGTGTTTGCTTTTCTCTTTTTTTATATAGAAAAAAGAGCACTAGCTAGAAGACAGGTTCATCGAATGCCTCTTTTGACACTTGCCCTTATAAAGCCTTGTAAGTTCCAAAAGCTTTGATCAACCTTAACTTAGATTTGTCAACCTGAAAGATATTAGAGTAAAATCAGTGAGATCACTACTATCTTAAATTAGCAAGTTATCCACTTAATTTTAAAAATTAAGCAGCAATTAGCCAATGATATTAAAAACATCAATGGTTAATGGATACTCTTAAATGATAATTCTAAATTATATATAGACTGATTCCATCCAGAAAAAATTTCAATTTCCTTTTCTGTTTTGGAGTTGTCAACAACAAACACCTACCCCTCAACCATCTACAGCTGGGGAATCTGGAGTACGATGATGTGATCATTACATGAACTTCTGATATTTTAAATGGGAATTATTCCGCATCACCCTGTTGTTTCCAGCTTTGCTGGCACTCTACAAGTGTACAAACCCTAAGCCCTAGCCATGTTGACGCTACATAGCCCTTATCACCTCCTGTAGAAACCTAACCCCTCGTGAAATTAATAGAATCCATTGCCGACAAGTGGCAAGCAGGGGAATGTTAGATTGGGGAAAGCCGGCTTTAAAGTAAAAGGAATGAGCTAGGAAAAAAGTCCCTTTTCCATTTCTTCGAGCTTAAGTTAAATCGGTTGAACAAATTCTTTTATGTGTGCCTCAAACTCAATCATGAAATGTTTTTTTTTTTCTTTTTGATAAATGAGTCAATAATCAAAATATTTCTGGCTTGCATTCCTCAAAAGTCCCTGACCAGAACCAAAATTTTAGGCTCCACTGGTATACCAGATTAACCACCTCCTTCTAAAAAGAAAAAAAAAGAAGAGAAGTATTTCCACAAAGCATGTTTTGCAACTGTATCCTTTTCCTGACATCTTTCCTTAAATGCTAACATCCATTGTGGAACAGTAGAAATGGATACATGAGTTCAGTTGTAGTGGGGACATCCGATAAATTTAGAACAAATATAGGGAAGATTATCATGGCCCCACCCGCACAAGGATGGCACACGCAAATTGAGAAATGGTCCAAAAGAGGAATTTAATGATGTTAGGGGTGTTTACTTTTATTCCAACCATAATTATAAAAATGCTAATCCTTGCTCTTATTTTTCCCAAGTTAGAACCACTTTTGGGATAGTGATGCATTTCGTATTACTCTTACAAAGATATTTAGGTTTTCTGGTTATGATATTAAATCTTGGAACCTCTCTGCAGCTTTTGTTGACATTTCTCCCGATGAAACATTCCAAAAAGGTGCTTTCGAAGATTATAAAGAATCAACTGAGACAGCTTCAGTAACTGTGGATCAGGTGAGTGGATGGAGCTATTATCTGAGAATATGATGTCATATAACAATCGTACTTCAATAGTTTTTTTTAATGCCTATAAGGTAACTCAAAATGGAGCTGCTTCAAAGTCGGGATTTGGTGCAAGTACATCTGACAGTACCGGGTTTGGTGCTAATACATCTAACAGTACCGGGTTTGGTTCTAATACATCTGACAGTACCTCATCAACTGGTAAATCATCTGCTGGTCCTGCCCTTAAGGCATGGCTGTCGTACTGCTAATATCATTCATGTATCAGGTCAAAAGTACATTCAGTTGTCTTTTTTGTTTTTGAAAAGAATGTCGAGATTGGCCAGTTTCTTATGCAGTCACAGTATGTTTGTAGCACTACCTGGATACATAGAGGTATTTTTGAAAATCTACAGGGTACAATACTTTATGAGATCACGATTTGTGTTTTCAATGTCTATCCTAATCCGATAAAAGGCACAGTCATATCTATGTACAATTAGAATTTTGAAGTGGTTAAACACTTGTCAGTCAATGGATCCATGTTGTATGAGATACTGTATCGATCAGATGCAGACAAAAAACATGAACAGCCAGTCAGAAACTCTAGTCTTTGTAATGACCCGAATATTGCCTCCTCTAGAAACCTATGTAGAACTATCGTAATTAATGGAAACAGCTTTAACGGGGATGTTCCATGGAAAATGACCTATTTCTTACATTATATCTTTGTTTAATTATGGATTTTTGGATGGATGAAAATTGTGGGTGCATTATTTTGTTTTGAGATTAGAGGTTTCGAATGGTACATGCTCCACTGCTTATTTGATGATGTCTGTTTATTATTAAGAAAATGTTTCTTTTGGCCTAATTTCCCTTCACGCTTTTTGTTTATGGGAAAACAAGTAAAATTTCCCTTCATGCTCTCTGCTTCTCGGCCAGTGGAAACCTTTGCATGATATTCTTTCTTGAACAGAAAAATCAAACCCGCTAATGTCAGTGGAAGCTCTGGAGAAAATGATGGAAGATCCAACAGTGCAGAAAATGGTTTACCCGTAAGATAGCATGTACCTTTCTGTTATGTTCTATTAGTTTTGTTTGATTAACTTGAATATTTGCAATATCTACATTACTTAGCATTTTGAATGATATCTTCCTTGACTCATTAGAATATTTGAATTCCTTTTCGTCCTACGTCATGCTATTGAAATTTTAACATAAAATTTTTTGTTGTGAAACCTTAGATAAGATATCCTTGTTCAGTCTATCCTTCTCGGCAAAAATAATGTCTGGTGTGATCCTCATAATGGAGGGCGGGTCAAGGAGAAGGACTAGCAGGATTCTAGGTTGGCAAGTTTCCAAAGGAGAGCATATGACATCTTAAGAAAATCCCACATTGAAAAAAGAAGGTGGAAAAGTCAAGGGCTATATGACAAATATCACAAATTCAAATCATATGCACTCTTTTGGGCTCGATGTGGCAAGTCCTAAGGACAAATCCATGAGCTCTGTTGGGTCAAACCGTCAAAGTGGACAATACGTCCCATGGGCTTGGGTAGTGTTTTCGATAGCGTGCGGCGACAAATAGCGACGAGGGCCCGCTTCACTGAGGCGAGAGGCGTGCAGCGAAGCGCTCGCCTTTTTGATGTGAAGCGACAATTTATACAAAAACATAAAATATTATATACATCTAACTAAAAACTCAATAACAATAATATATTAATAAATATATCATTCAAAAACTAAAGACTCAATAGATAGTCATAGATTCAAAGTAGATTCATAAATTAAAGTCAATATTCAATTAATTCTACTCTATAAGACTATAAATCTATAATTGAAAAAGCAGAGCAACAAATAAAATAAAGCTACTGCCTCTGCTCGATTTTGAAAAACAGAGCAACAAAAAAAATACATCCTCTGCTCTGAAAAAACAGAGCTGAAAGAGATGATGGAACAAAGAAAAACAGAGCTGGGCTGAAAGAGAAGAAAAACAGAGCTGAAAGAAGAAGAAAAACAGCAATCACTAAAGAAAGAAGAAGAAAAAGAAAAAAGAAGACCAACAATGGGGGTCGACCAGAAGAAGAAGAAAGTAGAAGAAGAAGAAAAGAAAAGAAAGAAATAGGGGTGTCAATGGTTCGGTTCGGCCGGTTATATTATAAAATTTGTACCATACCAATTTTTCGGTTATTCTATTATGTATAACCAACATTAGACTTTTCGAAACCGTCCCGATCATGTCGGTTTCTCTTCGGTATCGGTACGGTTCGGTAAATATTCGGTAATTTTTTTTAAATATCATGTAAAAATCATTAGTAGAAGTAGAATGCAATAACATACATACTTTTATATAACTTAGCAAAACTCTCTAGACATTTTTACAGTTTAAAAGGTGATAGATTAAAAAAATATAAAATATGGCTAGAGTATAGATCCATCAACTATTCTACATCAGCGTAAAAGAAACTAAGCAAATACAAAAAAATATAAATCATACGAGTGGAAAGATATTAACCAAGCTGGGTCTCAAGAATAAAGTCTATAGAAGATTAAATATTCAAAAAGATAAATCTAATTCATACGAAAGGAAACATATTCAATACATTGTAGTTTGGTACTCATAATCGCTACAATACCTTGTGTTTTGCTAGTGAATATGCTGGAAATAACTTAGTTTCAATAGGAGTAGCATAATAGGTTTAGGAATTAGGATTTTAAGTTTAATTACATGTTGGCTTGTAACTATTTCATAATTCCAAGGCCCCAGAAAAAATTTAATGCTTTATTATTTTTAAACTTAATATTTATTTTTTTACATTGTAAATTTATTCAGTACACTTCGGTATTTTTTCGGTTTATTTTCATAAAATAAAAAACCTACCCTAATTATCGGCTCGGTTATAGATTTATAATAAAACCGTAGCCTAAAAATCGGTTCAGTACGATACGGTTCGGTCGATTTAGTCGGTTTTTGAATATTCATGAGCACCCCTAGAAAGAAACATACCTGGTGAAGAAGGGGTCGCTGATGGCTGATGGCTGACGATAGAAAAAGATGTGAACCCAAGCCCTAATTTTGTCGAAGGAGAACTGGAGAAGGTTGTTGCTCGTATCGTGAGAAGTGTTTTAACCCAAGCCCTAATTTGTTGTTTTAGACTTTTAGTAATAAACAGATGCCTTTTCTTGCGTTATATTCAAATAGCGACGCCTCGAATCGCTTCTCGCATCACAGCGCCTCTCGCTACAAAGGCAGAGGCGCTCACTTTTCTTCATCGCAACGCAACAGACCAGGAATGGTGACACTGCCTCGCATCACATCGCTACACGCTTTTAGCGCTGTAGCGAGCGCTACTAATAACACTGGCTTGGGCTGTGACAAATATGATATAAGAGTTAAACTGTCATAGTATGATGGGGAAAATCCTTAGTGAGGAGGGGGCGAGTCAAGGAAAAAGAATAGTAGTCTAGTAGGCTTCTAGGTTGACAAGCTTATGGAGAAAGGACACATTTGACATCTTAGGCAAATTCCTCATCGGAAAGGAGGAAAAAGTATGTAGCACATAACATAAATTCACATAGTATGCACGCTTTTGGGTTCAATGTAGTGTAGCCCAAGGGACAAATTCCTGATGTCTATTAGGCCAAAGCAGAAAATAAGTGACATGGGCTTGGGCTGTGACATCTGTACCCAGCATTCCAAAGGCTCATTCACCTGGGACTTGTGCTGATCCCCGTTGATTTCATACTGTAGTGCTGTCAACTGGAGCTCTAGCAAAAATAAAGCTGAAAGAACACAAATGAGAAAGTAAATTTTTCTTAAGAATGAGCTGAATATTCTTGGATTTTAAAGTTTTACCAACTTAATTCTTTCGCTATTCTGTACTACTATGTGCTGTCTGGATGGGCCTTGTCGATGAATTGTAATTTGCATCAAGTAAAGCTATTGTTAACTGCAAATTAATTATAGTACCTTATTGGTCGAAACTCTAGTTTCAGTTGCAACTTGCACAATGCTACTATGTATTGCGTTATCAGTCAAGAAGTAATGAACTTCTAGTGAAGTCAAAGTTCTTATGTTTGAAATTAAGTTTTAAATCTCTCTAAGGCATATCAGGGAAAATATCCTTTCATCAGTATTTTGTTCAGTTAACAGGGTAGGAAAATACGATAGGCTATTATAGTGTGATGTAGACTACTTTGGTAATGATGGAAGGAAGTGAACTAACATGAGAATTGAGACGCTTAGAAGATGGTGTTGAATAGATATTTAGATGGTCTACAGAATAAGACTTAAAATATTAAACCTTACCTGAGATGGTTGTTGGCAACAAGTGTTTAATGATGTGGATTGGGAGGATTGACCGGAAAAGTGTAATTAAGGAAACCCCGAATAAATTGGCTAATGCATATTAAAGTACTAGATTGTATACAAGGTTGTCAAATGCAGTGTTTCATCTAAAGTGACATTTCTCTTCTCTGTTAATTCTATTGTGCTTTTCTTGTGACCATAACCAGACCTTTCATCTTATGTGACATATGTTTTGTATGTATAAACTACTTGTGCTTTATTTTGATTTTTGACGAGAACTAACGTTTCATTTGAAACTTGTGCAGCTATCTACCGGAGGAGATGAGGAATCCTACAACATTTAAATGTAAGCTGTCATCTGATGCTCTTTTCTATGCATATGAAATCTGCTTTCCCAGAGCTACTACCCTTAATTTTAACCATTAATGAATCTCTAGAAGGATTTGCTTTTGTATCAAATTTGATTCTTCAACTCATGGTTGAGGTTTTAGAGCAAAATTCAATTATTCTTTTGTCAAACTGTTTCTGTGTGAGTTGCTAAGTTGTAGCATCATTGAAGAACAAGAGTTAAATGCCATTTAGCCTTTTTTTTTGGCTGTGTCCTCATCTTACCAGGGGGACACTTGTCTTTCTGGTTTATAGTGAGACTTGAAACTAAAAAGATTAACTCTCCAGTCCTTTAGAACAAAGGTCATGCTTTGCTAATTCTGTATACAACTATCTAGTTTTCTTCTATTGCGTATAAAGGTGCAAAGGGGAAGGGCTGTTTAGTGCCTTTCCAACAAAAAGGTTAGTGGGTAAAAATGATATTCATCATTGTTATAACCTTGTTAGTTTCAATCTAATAACTTCCTATAAAAACCAAAAACTTTCTAGCATTGGTAGTGAGAGAAATCTACCTTAAGATTAAATAAGAAAAAGGAATACATTAATAAGGTCGAGGCAAATAACAGTCCGCATTTGTATAATTTTTCAAACTACTTTATCTACTATCTCTATCGGATAAAACTAAGAGGGTGTTACATGTATTTTTCTGACAGGGATGCTACAAAATCCACAATACCGTCAACAGTTGCAGGACATGCTGTAAGTCTGGTTCAATTGTCTTTCAAGTGCATATTTCCCTATATTCCATGCTGAAATTCAGTACTTGTATTGTCATTTATTTTTCTAAAATCTCTGTCTGGCAATATATTCTAATCACGGTGAGCTTTACCATGAGCATATCACAAAGACAGTTCAAATATAATCTAATGCCATTCTATAACTTTGGTTTAAGTATAGGAAAACATATTCTGGTGTAGCTCTGCTCGATCTGATGTATTTGAACTGCTTGTTATTTACTGCAGCAACGAGGCTTTTGTTGAACTTGTGCTAACTAGACTTGATTTATTTTTCCACTTACCCCCCCAAAAAAAAGACTTGTCTTTTACTTCTGCCCTCATATGGTTAAAATTCTCCAGCTTGTATGAGAATATTTTCCATTCCAATATATGTATGTTACTGGTATATATTGGACCCTAACTGGTGGTTTTCATCTTGTTGATTCTTGATCCATCTAATTGCATTTCTATTATAAAAAGGAATGACATATATCAACTGATTAATTATCTGTCTGGATTCAAATATTCATGGGACTACCTAGTCTTTGTCAATCTGCTTGCCTTCATGCATGTGTTGGTCTTTGCTCAATTTTGAAAACAAAGGAGGAAGAGAACATAAATGTTGAATAATCTGTTGATTTATGGTTGATAGGGATTTCTAGTGTTAAAAACCTTTCTTTTTACTGTCTATGAAAAGCTTATCAGGGTTTTCATCATTTGCCCCTCCCAGGAATAACATGGGTGGAAACCCAGAATGGGACAACCGCATGGTGGATTCCTTGAAGAATTTTGATCTTAGCAGCCCTGAAATTAAGCAACAGTTTGGTAAGTTTGAGTAGTTATGTTCTTCTTTTCGTGGTCTACTTGCAACATTACTATCCATAGCTCTCTGATCCTGGGGTGGGACTAGAGGATCTAGACAAAAGCTGGATTCCTCTGAGCATCGATATAAGTTTTGCATGTANCTTAGTTTATTACAAGGTAGAACTAAGTCTGATGGCAGCAACTTTGTCTTGCGGGTCAGGGTCTACGCGCGCGTTGCTGTGGGCGCGCGCGACACTTGCTATGTTGGCCTGAGGCTGGGTGCTGGTGCTTGGCATCAGGGTCTGTGTGTGAGGCGCTGCTAGATTGGGCCTGCAGCTGGGCGCTGGCGAGGCATCAGGATCTGCGCGTGCGGCATTGTCAAGGCGCGCGGCGCTGTTGTCATTGGCCAGCCCTTGGGCGCTGGCGAGAGGCATCGGTGGGGCGA